AGTAGTAGTTCGTAGTTAGTAGTTAGTAGTTAGTAGTTAGTAGTTAGTAGTTAGTAGTTAGTAGTTAGTAGTTAGTAGTTAGTAGTTAGTAGTTAGTAGTTAGTAGTTAGTAGTTAGTAGTTAGCAGTTAGTAGCTAGCAGTTAGTAGTTAGCAGTTCGTAGTTAGTAGTTACTAGTTAGTAGTTACTAGTTAGTAGTTAGTAGTTACTAGTTAGTAGTAGTAGTAGTAGTAGTAGTAGTAGTAGCAGTAGCAGTAGTCGTAGCAGTAGCAGTAGTAGTAGTAGTAGTAGTAGTAGTAGTAGTAGTAGGCCTAGTAGTAATCGTCCTAGTAGTAGTAGGCCTAGTAGTAGTCGTCCTAGTAGTAGTAGCAGTAGTAGTAGTAGTAGTCGTCGTCGTCGTCGTCGTCCTAGTAGTCGTAGTTGTATAGTCCGATTTATCATTAAGGCGTGCTTCTTGCCATGAGTTTGGTTCTACTGGCACTCCCTCGACCTGCTGCTTTAGTTTCTGCTTGGCATCCTGGTTGCCGATTCGACCCCTCTTGTCTCTGAGTCAACCCGCCCTGGTCTCTGATTCGACCCTCCTTGGTCTCTGAGTGTAGGCGGCCTGGTTCCGGAGACTGGTCTCTGAAACCGCTATAGTACTATAGTGGTCTCTGATTCGGGCCCTCTGGTCTCCGACTCGGCGTCTTCGGTCTCTGATTGGACCCTCCGGTCTCTGATTCGTAGTTTCCCCGCTTAAAAGCTGGGGGCCCGCAAGATCTCAGTTCAGGGTTGTAGAAGAAGCGCCATTGGTGGGATGGTGGCGGCACAGCGATCGCGGATTGCAGCGGTGATGGCGATGAAGCTTAAGCATTCTCGAGCATGCACACACAAGTTATCAGATAAGCCCGCAAAGGGGTAGGCAGGCAGGCAGGCAGGCAGGTAGGTAGGCAGGCAAGCAGGCAGGTCAGAAGTACAAACTGTTCTTCGAAACACTCCCCAACATGTACTCAGTGAACCCTGTAACGAAGATTGCGACAAAGCGGCGACAATAATGGGCTCATTTCGGGAGTGGTCTTGCTCAGCACAGCATCTTGGTGCCTCATCTCCTGCCCCACAGCTATCTCCACGGAGCGGTTCCATCGTATCCGGATCTTGGCTGGACGAGGGTCCGTTTACCACGACTCGTTCAAAAGCCAAAACCTCCAGAATGCCAGAGCAAGCTGCAAACCCTAAACGCCAGCAAGGAATCTTGAAAAGCGCGAGATCGGGGCTAAGGACTCAGGGGCGGGGGCTACCAATAGTGTCCCTGACGAAAGTGCTTAGGCTCCAGTGCGTTATCGGGCAAACTAATGCCTTCACATGGCAATACATGACTGACGACAACGGATTGTGGGTGTGCTGATACTCATGGTAATGATGGTGACAGAGATGATGGTAATGAATGATGGTGATGATGGTGGTGATGATGATGATGATTAGTCTGCTGCTGTGAAGACTGTGACTGTTGAGATGATGACGACAGATCTCCTCATAAAGTTACAATTGTATCAGCAGCAGCAGGAGCAGTAGCAGCAGCAGTAGCAGGAGCAGTAGCAGTAGCAGGAGCAGAAGCAGGAGCGGAAGCCGCAGCAGCAGCAGCAGCAGCAGCAGTGGCAGCGACAGGAGTGGGAGTGGGAGCAGGAGTAACGGTAGCCGTAGCCATGGCGGCAGCAATCGCGGCAGTGCAGTGGCAGTGGCAGTGGTAGAGGTGATGGTCATCATCGTAAAGGTGGTGGTGGTGGTGGTGGTGGTGGTGGTGGTGGTGGTGGTGGTGGTGGTGGTGGTGGTGGTGGCGGCGGCGGTGGTGGTGGGGGTGGTGGCGGCGGTGG